GCTGTCATTGACTTATCATCATTGTCTTAATATTAATCATTAATTATAATTATCATTTTAAAAAGCTTAAACTATGGATAGTAAATCTCTTGTATCTGCACTTTATGTATGTTTAGGACTAGGATAATGATTATAACGATTCAAATTGTTATCAATTGGGTTATGTTGTTTATGTTAAGTTTAAAGATAATCAAGAAGGAAAAACAAGCAACTATATGCCATGTAAGTCCTTACACAAATATAAGCCTATTTTGACTAGAAGCCTAATGGTACATGTATGTATGCTTATTACATCACTGACTATTACATCACTGACTATAATAACTGATATAATTTTATTACAACAGTCACATGAATAGCACTCACATCAACATTGTGTGAAGGAATGGTGTGTTCACAAGTAAGGAACTAAATAACATAATGGAACAGATATTGTAGCAATTGAATAACAATGTTAACACCATGTCGAGGGACAAAATGTTATTAGAGTGCATTGTGTATATTATAATTAACTTAATAATAAGATTACCTCACTCACAGTAACTTGATATGGATTCTCATCACCTATTGCTCTGTTATCATTCTCATCACCTATTGCTTCGTTATCATTCTCATCATCTATTGCTTCGTTATCATTCTCATCATCTATTGCTCTGTTACTAGTCAGTTGTACAGGTGATGTGGTAATTGCTATATTATGAGTCTCTTCATATTCATTGGAATCAGCTTGTTCTTATAATATCATCATAAACACTTTGCATAATTATGCAATATTTACCAAAATGTACAACCTCTTTTGTTGTCTTGCTTTTTCTTTTAATAGCAATTATCGTGCCGAAACATATTGTTAATATGAACAATATCACTAATACAACACTAGTACTGACTGCACCAGCCACAAGAGGTACAATGTTATCATCAATGCTTTCATCTATTTTCAAAAATATACAACACTTTTCTATGTGTGTGTTATACTTGTTGATGGAGTTTCAGTTTCAATTGTAGCAGTAGTTGATGTAATAGTAGCAACTAATGAGGAGGAATATATTAAAATATACTGTATAACTTGAAATTTTTGTGGAATATAAATTTCATGGTTCTTGTGGTTTTGGGGCTTCCCACGAAATTTAAACCCACAAAATCATTAAAGTGCCATCCCCTTACAGGCTATGTAAAATGTCAACCATGAAAATTAAACCACGAATTGCCCCACTAGGAGCAAACCACGAAAATTTAGACCCACAAAAATTTCAAGCTATATGGTAACAAAATAATTATTATACATTAGCTAACAAAATATTATTTTCTGCCATTACAGACAGTTTTAATCCAATCAGATTGAATCATAAAGGTTAGTAAATATAAATATCATACAGCTTTTGAACAATTTTTTGCAAATTTCAAAATGATGCTTTGGTGCTTTATTGATTATTAAGAAGACAGTGAAAAATAAAGACTCAAAGTGCCTATTAAGTTGCTTAATTGTTCAAAGTCTATTTAAATGGTCAGTGGTAAGAAAGTGCAAGCACGCATTCATAACAAAATTTGGCAAATATTTCTATTGGCAGGGCCGTAGCCAGGAACTTAAAATAGGGGGTTTGGAAATTGCTGCGTGCGAAGCGCGCAGCGAAAATTTGACGAAGATGGGCGTGGTTGGTAGGCATGGTCTTAATTTACACATCTCAGCCATGTGCTGACTCAGCTAAAATGGCTATCTGTGCTTCTCGCTGTTGCCAAAATGCTAATCCTGCTTTTGCAGTGCTGTTCTTCATGACAGGAGCTAATCTAAAACTTTTTTGCAGCTACAACAGGGGGGTTCGTCCGAACCCCCCGAACCCCCCCTGGCTACGGGCCTGATTGGTGCATTTTTTACACATTTTTTACACATTATAGTTGTTTGTATGACAACTATATGATTTAGGAGCCAATTTACTATGCCTATTTACTACTGAAAAATCAAATTGCCGCAGTAATGTA